ATCAAACGGATCTCGATGAGCAATTCTAAAGATGGCTGGTTCAGCAGCAAGTCAAGAATGAAAGCCCAGTTCCCCGAAGCTGGCAATCTTTCTATCATGTTATTCCTTTGCATTTGTAGTTTCTTTTCTGTTTAAGTGTGAACTTATTTGCAAATTTCATTTGTAAGACGTGTTTGTTTTCGATTGATAATGATAATGAATTGAATATGTTTGTTTTGATTAAATCCATTCGTGTTCACTCAATATTGCTTTTTCATTAATGTCAAACGCTTGTTTAAGCGGAATCCCTTGAGGGAGGATGACGAAATTTAAAGACGCAAACTTCTGAATGTATGCCTTTTGAATTAAAACCTCTGCTGATGATGTACAGGCATTGTTTCAAATTCCTAAACACCGGAGATATAAGGAAGATAATCCTTTGTTAAACCCTTTTGAGCCTAGTAGTAGGAGTTTCTTTCTGAAAAACGAAAAAAACCTTCAATCTTAACCTGGGGCAGGGTAGATGTCAGTTAATTTGACCGAGCATCCAAATTGCAAGAGGAGTGTTCCTGTTCGAGGATCAATCACACCTATATAGGTCGCACCTAAAGAACCACAATGGTTATCCTTCACCAGCCAAGGAGTGAGACAGTTACAATCCCTTCAGCAGGTCAGACAAGTCGGTGTCACATGATTTGTTCAAAAAGAAGAAAATAAAAGAAAGAAAAAAAAGCCCGCTAAGTCGATAACTTGAAAACAAATGGCTTAGGCAAAAATTAGGCTATCCCGCTGGACTTTGAAATCAGAAGATATACTCAAGAGAGTCAGTAAAAAATAGGGAATGAATATGATGAAAAACAAGTCGTGTGACTCCAGGCACCAAAGACGAAAAGCGAATGACTGTCACTCCGAAAACTTGTGGTTTCCTGAACCATCACTCCTATCATTTAACCTTTAAGAGGTGAGTGCGTATGTCGAATTAGCTGAACATAGGATTGAAGAATATTAAGGAGAGTGGGTGGGTCAAACAGAACTTTGAGCCTCATATCTTTTCTTTCAAACCGTGAACCTGACCAAGTTACGACCGTCAAAAGTCCTAATTGAAGCTGGTTTGTTTCGAAAGCATACTTCGGTAAAGATCGCGTCGAAACTGACTCCTAAAAGGATTTTTCTTACCCTATGGGTATGGATATTGATATTTCTGATAGGTGATTCGTTCACTAAATGCCACAACTTTTTTTCCAGTAACCAGACTTGGATTTCAAAAATGACATATGCATTGCATTAATATTATCTTTTGCAAAACAATTTGTTTTACTCGCGAGAAAACATTTGACATCAGGAAAGTTTCTACAATGCGGAGTTTGATAGAAATAAGATATAGAGCGCCCGAGTACTCCTTTGAGCAGGGGCAAGTCACATCAGGTAAACATAAGCAGAGTCGGTCATTCCTATATGTAGTTAATCTGGGGCAATCAGGTCGAGATTAGGTAAATCTCTCAAAGTCAAAGGCACTTCTCCAATTCAGCCAATCAGGGGCAAAATCACTTCGAAGCTGGGGCAGGCCACCCCAGAAGCACGACAACTATCCTTATCCAGAAAGGAAATTGACTTGAAGCACTTCTTCGGGGTTCGAAGCGCTGAGGCAGTTCATATCTAACCATCAAGTCCCACAGGCTGGGGCAAAATTGGAAACAAAGGAGATGTGTTCCTCTCCATATCTTCAGAGCTTATCAGAATTACAGAAGCAGATTTGGGTTTATTTCCCCAGCAGTGGGGCGAGTGCAGTATTGTTATCTCCACAGAGTCTGAACTTCTTTCCCCTCAGAGTCTAGGTCATTGACTCATTCCTCAAACGGAAGTGTTGTTGAAGTTTACTTCTCATTTTCCCCAAGCAGAGATTGATGTTAATTCCCTCCTTATCTAAACCCCAGCCAAGTCAGCAGAATTAATTTCCTTCCCCACAGAGTGGAACTGACTCAGAGATCGTTCATCTCCATCCCCAGCAGAGAGAGTGTGGGATAATCCTCCCAGTAAATCTTATTCAACATCCCTAGCAGATAGTGGGTTCAACCTCCGACAGAGTGGAGCTATTCCTCAGCAATCTGTTGTGTTTCCCCAGTAGAGTTATTCCGGCTAATCATTCATAACTGATTTCCCCGGTAGAGTGGAGTTGTTGCCTCCGGCCAAGTTGCTTGATCCCCAGAAAAGTTGTAGGTTGATAGGCCATCCGGGGCGTCTTCCGCATCAGAGTTTGATTTGGATCCCCAGCGGTTTGGTTTTGTTCTTAACAGAGCGGTTTTACCCAGAAGTTTTTCTCGGAGGCCATCCAAGGCTTGTATTCCCCAGCATGAGTTTGTTTGCGCTAGGCGTACCTAGCTCTGACCCAACGAAGTTGGCTTTTTAGCATTTATCTTGCTAAAGTGGTTCATTTGCATCTACATACATGCATAACATCTACCCAAATGCGAAGCATTTCCATTTCGTATGGAGCATTTCGTCATATCCAAACATATGCATGCGAAACATAAGCCAGGTCGTTACCCTTTTGTTTCAAGTGAACCTCGCAGATGATTAGTATCTTTGCCCGTGTGTTGGCTAGACCCCAGCTCATGGTGTTTCCCCAACGGAGTTATTTTGTGATTATCACCAATGGATGGTCTTAATTTCGTTCGAATCTTGTTGCTCGCTTATATTTAGCGAAGGCTTGGCGGCGAGGTCAAGTGATTTGGTCTTCAACGGCGATGTTGAGAAGTTTGTTTTGACGACGAGGTCAAGTGATTTGGTCTTCAACGACGATGTTGAGAAGTTTGTTTTGACGGCGAGGTCAAGTGATTTGGTTCTTCAACGGCGATGTTGAGAAGTTTGTTTTGACGGTGAGGTCAAGTGATTTGGTTCTTCAACGGCGATGTTGAAAGTTTGTTTCTGGCGGCGATGTCAGAGTAATTTGTTTATTCAGCGGCGAGGTTGGATGATTGTTTCTGACGGCGATGTCAGAGTGATTTGTTATTCAGCGGCGATGTTGAAAGTTTGTTTCTGGCGGCGATGTCAAAGTGATTTGTTATTCAGCGGCGAGGTTGGATGTTTGTTTCTGGCGGCGATGTCAGAGTAATTTGTTTATTCAGCGGCGAGGTTGGATGTTTATTTCTGGCGGCGATGTCGGAGTAATTTGTTTATTCAGCGGCGAGGTTGGATGATTGTTTCTGACGGCGATGTCAGAGTGATTTGTTATTCAGCGGCGATGTTGAAAGTTTGTTTCTGGCGGCGATGTCAGAGTGATTTGTTATTCAGCGGCGAGGTTGGATGTTTGTTTCTGGCGGCGATGTCAGAGTAATTTGTTTATTCAGCGGCGAGGTTGGATGTTTATTTCTGGCGGCGATGTCGGAGTAATTTGTTTATTCAGCGGCGAGGTTGGATGTTTGTTTCTGGCGGCGATGTCAGAGTAATTTGTTTATTCAGCGGCGAGGTTGGATGTTTGTTTCTGGCGGCGATGTCGGAGTAATTTGTTCATTCAACGGCGATGTTGAAAGTTCATTTCTGACGGCGATTTGTTTGTTCAACGGCGATGTTGAAAAGTTTGTTTCGACGGCGATGTCAGATGATCTAGTTCTTCAACGGCGATGTTGAGTGTTTCTGACGGCGATGTCAGATGATTTGATTCTTCAACGGCGATGTTGAGTGTTTCTGACGGCGATGTCAGATGATTTGATTCTTCAACGGCGGTGTTGAGAAGTTTGTTTTGGCGGCGATGTCAAATGATTTGATTCTTCAACGGCGATGTTGAGAAGTTTGTTTTGACGGCGAGGTCAAGTGATTTGGTTCTTCAACGGCGATGTTGAGAAGTTTGTTTTGACGGCGAGGTCAAGTGATTTGTTTGTTCAGCGGCGAGGTTGGATGTTTGTTTCTGGCGGCGATGTCAGAGTGAGTTGTTTGTTCAGCGGCGATGTTGAAAGTTTGTTTTGACGGCGATGTCGGAGGATCATATCTTTGGATTCAATATCTCTTTGTATTTAACAGAGGACTGACGGCGAGGTTAGATCTTTTTACCGACTTAATGTCGAGGCCTGACCGTGAGGTCAGATGCTTTTACCAATTATGTTAAGAATTGACGGCGAAGTTAAATATGTTGGAAATGACGGCGAAGTCAGAAGATTGTTTTAAGAGATGACGGCGAAGTCAGGTTATATGAGAATTGACGGAGAGGTCAGATGTTTACTTGATTTATGACTGACGGTGAAGTCAGATGTTCCATTTAATATGGGAATTGGAGGCGAAGTCAGAAGACGATTTTGAAAAAAATTTTGACGGCGAAGTCAGAAAATATTGAAGACCGACGATAAAGTCAGTTGATTTATAATTTTGACACTGAGATCTGACGGCGAGGTTAGATGCTGTTAAAGGAGCTGACGGCGAGGTCAGACGTTCTACTTAATATGGGTGTCTGGCGGCGATGTCAGAAGTTCGTATCGCGGTTGTCAAATTTCCGGGTCCTTGGGTATTCAACCGTCTTTTACCTTGAATGTCTGAAAGTCGCTTACCTTTCATCCCTTCAGGTCTAAGTCGCTTGAATAGGGGCAGCTGTTGTACCCCAAAATTTGCCCTACCTTTTCTCCATTTGGTTTATGTTTCATTTCATTGCATTAGCATATCACATTGCATGTCATACCCCAATTTGTCCTACCTTTGAGATTTCCTTATACCAAGTGGTTATGTGGATTTGAAACTTTTCTGTGCATTCAATTCTAAGGCATGACTTAATTTCAAGTTGAAATTCGCTTCAGAGAGCTCATGGCATGATTAGTATGTGTTTAAAGGAGTGTTTAGTTTGTTTACAAAACCACGGTTCTTAGACGTGCTTCCAGGAGCGATTTTATCAATGAGGGTGTTTATATCTTAAAGTGTATTTGTGAGCTCACGTGGAAGTTCTGGCCGATAACAGATGATTCCCAAGAGGCCATCAATTTGTGTTCAAACAAGGGGGTTCAATTTGAATTGAAAAATAAACACCTCAATGAGTTTCAATGCGCCGCGTATCACGAAAACTGCACCAACTTTTGGGACCAAAACCCCACGAAACCTCATTTCATTACACCGACCTACTACATCATTGCAAAACCACTGACTGCATTAAAAAAACTCACGCCCAAATCGTTATTGGAGGCCACGAACAAGACCCATTTATTGCTGCTAAACTAATTGATAAATATTCACAGCTTGGCGGGTCCAATGTTGAACACGCACGCAAAGTGTTCGACAATTTGTCCCAAAGAGATGTTTTCTGTTGGAACGTTGTCATCAAGGGTTACGCTAATATGGGTCCTTTCGTGGAAGCCTTAAACGTTTATGATGACATGCTTTTGAGTGGTGCTACTCCGAACCGCTACACTTACCCTTTTGTGCTGAAGGCTTGTAGTGCCGAGAGGGCTTATATAAAGGGGCGAATTGTTCATGGGCATGCTGTGAAGTGTGGATTGGACTTTGATTTGTTCGTTGGTAATGCCCTTATTGCGTTTTATGCAAAGTCTCAGGAGATTGAAGCGGCAAGAAAAGTGTTTGATGAAATGCCTATCAGAGATGTTGTTAGTTGGAATTCCATTATGTCGGGATATATCACAAATGGGTATGTGGATGATGCTGTAATGCTATTCTATGATATGTTGAGAGATGATGATATTGGTTTTCCTGATAATGCCACCCTTGTAACTGTTCTTCCTGCATTCGCTGAGAAAGCAGATATTCATGCAGGATATTGGGTTCATTGTTATATTGTTAAGACAGGGATGAAACTTGATCCTGCTGTTGGTTGTGGTCTTATAACATTATACTCAAATTGTGGCTATATAACCATAGCAAGAGCTGTTTTTGACCAGATACCGGATAGAAATGTCATTGTTTGGAATGCAATTATTAGGTGCTATGGGATGCATGGTTTTGCGCAGGAGGCGCTCAGTATGTTCCAGCAACTAGTTGATTCTGGCTTGCATCCGGACGACATTGTGTTTTTGTGTTTGTTATCGGCTTGCAGTCATGCAGGCATGCATGAACAGGGCTGACACCTTTTCCAGACCATGGAAACTTATGGTGTTGTGAAAAGAGAGGCTCATTATGCTTGCATCGTGGATCTATTGGGAAGAGCCGGTGATCTGGAAAAAGCAGTGGAGTTTATTCAATCTATGCCTATCAAACCAGGAAAAAATGTTTATGGTGCCTTGTTGGGTGCTTGTAGAATACACAAGAATTTGGAACTTGCTGAATTGGCTGCAGAGAAGTTGTTTGTTTTAGACCCTAACAATGCTGGGCGTTATGTGATTCTAGCACAGATGTACGAAGATGAAGGTCGGTGGCAGGATGCAGCCAGATTGAGGAAAGTAATCAGGGAGAAAGAAATCAAGAAGCCAATTGGTTATAGCTCGGTAGAGCTGGAATCCGGTCATAACAAATTTGGGGTAAATGATGAGGCTCATCCATTAACAACACAGATTTTTGAGATCTTGCCATTAGATGAAGCACAGAAGGGATTAAACCAAATGAGTTTACATTTTCCAGTATCATAAATGCCTGTGCTGCTCCTACCGCGGCAGCAGAACAAGGAAAACAGAATGTTGTAACTCAGTGAAGCATGAGTAGACGGCAGCCAAAACTTCTGATTGTCAATTACTTCGTTTGGATTACAGGAAGGAACCATCCCTAAAATCTGCAGTATTAGTTTTTCAACTTTCCTGTGTCAATTTTCCCTCAGAATGATGTTTACTTAAGGAAAAGAGAATTTCACAACTCGATGAAGCATAAGTAGATGGAAGTCAAAGTTGAGGATTGTCAATTACTTCCTTTTGATTATTACAAGAAGGACCCATCCCTAAAATTTGCTCTATAAACCATTCAATTTTTCTGTTGTCAGTAATGGAAGTGGGAGCAGTGGACCCTTACACAACAAATCCAGGTCCAATTGATGGTTCAGTTCTATATGATCAAGACAAACATGTATCATCGGCAGTTTGGGAAGGGCAGCAGGAGCGCGGTGCCCTCAGATGTCACGAACACACTTCAAAACTTGATCAGTGGACACTTACACCGAAACAGATTGAATTGGTAGACAAGGCTGGATTTGGATACTTACGGTCAATTCCAGCTATTAGTCTAGACAATCCACTTATCTCTGCTCTAGTTGAAAGATGGAGAAGGGAAACAAACACTTTCCACTTTGACTGTACTCAAATCACGCTTGCTCCCTCTCCTCAACTACCTCCTTTTCTCTCACTCACTCTCTCTTCAAACCCTTTCCTTGATTATTGTAGGTATTTTGTGGCTAAAAGGAGTAGTTGTGGTGGATTAATCTTTGTGGATAAGGATAAAACAGCATGCGGTGGTGGTTCAGTCTATCTATTGATGTTTATCGCAAAATTATTTCTTTGAATCTCTATTGCAAAGTTATTCTCTAACTTCTTAAATTTTCAACCCTTTATTTAGAACCCTTCAATTTTCTCATTTTTTTTTACCTTCAAACTCACCTCAATGGGATCCAATTTCTTTGTCGTTGTTCCTTGTTATGTTCTCCAGATCAGCTGAAAAATTAGCTACACCACTTTGTTTTTAACCCGTTTGTGTTGTGAGTTCTTTTCAAGATCTGTTTGAAGTATAGTGAGAACTGCAGGGAGGAATTGCTTGCTTCTACAATTTTCTATCTCCAACTGCTTCCTGTGGGAAGAACCATTTTATTACAAGCCTACAACAAGTCCAAATTTCAGACCTGCTTTCTGTGTACATCCTACACAGACTTACTAACAAAAACCAGCCTGCTACACCCATCCCACACCAGACCAAATCCTGCGCCATTCTGCTACCACAGACAATGCCAGCTACAACCACTACCCTGCTACAAACTCACACCAGCCCACACACCTGCATAAACAATACACAGCAGTTGTACCTGCACCAAGCCCACTCCAGACAAACAGCCATGCCAGACAAGCTCTGCACCAGCTGTACCGGCCTGCTGCACTCTGCTACACAAACATACTCTGCTAACAACAGCAGCCTGTAAAAAACCATCCCTCAAAACACAATAAAACGACCACTTGCAAAAAAACATACACATCACATCTTGAATCATTCACAAAAACTACACTTCAAGAATATAAACCATCACTCCTTACTCATATAACAGACTCCAATCTCTTTAACATATCACCATTCCTCCTTAGAACTTCATCAACAAACTTCAATTACCCATTCACCAAAATCCAATCCTCACTGTTAACCTTGCCAAGATAACACCCTCATATCACAACTCATAAACCTTTATCAGTTTCTACCATTACCATTCAGCTTTCCAGACACACAACAACACAAGCTGCAACACAAGTGCACTACGTCAGGTTACATCACAAGCTCGACAATAACACGACGCTCTCGACGGGCCCTTCTATTCAGCACAATCATAACGTTTGAGTCATACACAAAGATTCAACAATTCAAATCCTTCAAACATCCTCCAATAAACTTCAATAAATCACCCAGAAAACTCCATTAAACCCACAAAGCCATAATAGAACTTTCATCGAACATATAGTGGGCGATTTTCGCATCACTGTTCAGCACCTTCTTCCATTAATCGCCACTGTTGGTTCTTCAAACCTAACAACAAACCTCACTCCAACCTAAAAACCTTCACAAACCGTAAAAAAAAACCAGCTTCAAGCCTCCACAACTTCAACCGAACCCCACATCAATTCCAAACCCTCTTTCAAAGTCAACAATTAAACCCAGTCTCTGTTTACGAATCCCTTTTCCACTCAAATCCAGACACACCATTCCAAATCTTCTCCTTTCAACCTTATTCAAAAAACCCATCCAAACTTCGTTTAAACAACAATTCAGAAGAAATCGAGAAGAAGGAGTTGAGTCTGAGTAAATTGGGAACAAAAACGAACTCGGAAACGAAATAGAGCAAACATTGAGGGAGGAATCATGGTTAGAGCGAGAGACAAGGCGTGGGTTGAAACAGATATGATTCAAGCTGACGAAACCATCACGACGGAAACGAGAGAGGTAGGTTTACTCACCGCCCTCTTCTTCTGCGTTTTCACGGATCCAAACTTGTTGGCTTGGACTTGATGTTTTCTTTGTTTTATTTTAAACGTGGCTTGGTGTGCTGAGCATATCCACTTGTTTATTTATTTACTTATTTATTTTACTTCTTAAGTTTCTTATATTATGTAATTATTGTTATATATTGTTTTTTGTTAAATTTTATTTTGTATATATATTATTTACTTTATATTTAAAATGTATGTTGTATATTATATATTTTAGAGTTTTTATATATACATTTTATTTAGAAGTTTATTTCATATTTTAGATAGATCTTATTTCTCTTTTGTTATTAGGCATTTTTGCCTTTTTGGGTCGATGACGAGACCTCCGTAATTCATTACCAGTCAAATTATTGATGAGTAATGTTGGATCTGAGACCACCTCTTTTCTCTCTTCATTACTTGTCCCGGCTCGATTCAAAAACTTTGTCAAACAATTTTCAAAATCAAATTATCTTTGTATTGAATTAAAAAGAGGGGATTAAGTGTAGACTTTCTTCCTCTCCGAGCGTAGGGATGCCCACTGTAGTGAGGGTGGTTCCGACACTCGTCTTTCAATACGAAGGCGCTTCCTGTCCATTTTCAAATCTCATCTCCTTAAAATCATTTCTTTGTGTTGAGCTAAAAAGAGGATTGGGTGTAGACCTCTTCTTCTTCGAGCGTAGGGATGCCCACTGTAGTGAGGGTGGTCTCGATGCTCGTCTGTCAATACAAAGACGCTTCCAACATCTCCTCATAAAACCTCGGTCTCGTACTGAGTATACTTTCAATAATAGATTAATTTCTCTTTGTATCGAATTAAAGAGAGAAGATTGGGTGTAGACCTCTTCTTCTCCGAGTGATGGGATGCCCACTGTAGTGAGGGTGGTCTCGACACTCGTCTTTCGATACGAAGACGCGCCTTTATCCACCTCTCACTTTCACAACTTCCTTCCACAATTTTCACACCTAAAACCTCGGTCCTGTACCGAGTGCATTTTCAAATCTTTTCATAACAAAAACTTGAATGGTCGTGGAGTGGTTAGGCGTAGGCCTTCTCCTATCCCGAGTGCTGACGTTTACCGTAGGGTTCTCTGTCGCAAAGCACTTACCATTCAAAACCAAAAACATCTTTAATAAGAGAACGAAGTTCCCCTTGTATTGAATTAAAGAGAGAGGATTGGGTGTAGACCTCTTCTTCTCCGAGCATTGGGATGCCCACTGTAGTGAGGGTGGTTTCGACGCTCGTCTTTCAATACGAAGACGCCTCGTTCGCCACACCTTTTTATAACAAAAACTTTGAGACAATGAATTGGGTACTACCCGTAGGGGTTACTATCCGAGGACCTGTCTCGCCCCCTAAAAAACAATCCAATCAATCAAACGTGACTTCTTGCCCCGCGTGGCGAAAACTAATCAATCTTTCAAAAGGATATGTTACGTCCGTTCTACCGCAAACAGGTACGCATAAGTCTCCAACGAGCGAGCAGCAAAACACCTAACTGCTAGAATGCGCACGATAGCATCATCCATAAAAAACATCAACACACCGTAGGCCGAACTACGGCTGCTCTGATTTCTCATACCTATTGAGAATACGTAGGCACAAGACGACGATGTCTTGGCGAGCACAATCCCCCCTATCTGTAGTTTCTCGAACTACGTCGACTCTGATTTTCTCATATCTGTTGAGAATACGTAGGCCTAGGACCGCGAAGTCCTACCGAGTTCGTTCTCTCCCTTCTTCCCCCCGTTACTTCTCTTTCACCGTTTCTAAACCCTTCTTTCTATCCCTTAGATCACTCTCTTTATAGCATAATCTTTAAGCAAATAAATTCACACATCGACAAACAAAAGGTTCCCATCGAGTACGATGGATGCGAGGGGTGCTAATACCTTCCCCTCGCATAACCGGCTTCCGAACCCGTTCATGGTTGCAAGACCATCTTATCCGTTCGTTTCTTAAGGTTTTCTCGATATTT